TTTTGATCTATATTATTCAAAAATAGAAAGAACACAGATTTTGGAACTCAGCAAAACCCAAGATGGCCAACTCTGCCCTGCCCCTTACCAGGAGCTACTGTGCATCAACAACTCAATGCCTTTGAATCTTAAATTCCTCAGAAGGCAAAAGGGAATATTAATATCTAATTCACCTGAAAAACCTGAGATGAATGAACCCTTTTGAGGTGTTTATTAGGATGATGAATTTAAATCCTTTAGGGCACCTGGCCCAGCACCTGGCACATTAACAAATTATCATTGTTTTTGTTTTGAGAGTATCTTTTTTTTATTTATTAACTCCTGACCTCCCCAAAAGTTATAGAGTATGAGCATTGGGGTTTATCTTAGTTACTTTTCTCTCATTGCTGAGACAAAATACCTGACCCTCAAAGTTAAAAGAGAAAAGATTTATTTGGTTACAGTTTGTAGAGGTTTCAGTCCATAATCAGATGGCTCCAAGGCAGGGTGGCAGCGGAGAAACAGTTCACAGCAGGAGAAGCAGAAAAAGCAACAAGGGGGACCTTAATAGCATCTTTCTGCCCTTTCATCTTATCCACACTACTGGGATTAGGGTGGTGCCAAACCAATCAGTGGATTGGTTTAGTAATCACACACCCTTAACCCCAGCATCACACACTCTAGATCCAGCCATCTCTGACCACATGAGGCTTTGGGGGGACATCTAGACACAAGCCATAACAGAGTCTAAATGAATCTAGATTTTATTTCTGGCTTTATCATTTACTAATTTGCCAATCTGTTCATTAATCTATCTGAGCTTCAGTTTTCTCAGATATGTAACAAAATCTTGCAGGAATCCTCTGAGACTAAGAACAATCCATTTACAAATGTGTAGCATATAGCACCACTTCATAGATGGAAGATATTATTCCAATAACTGAGTGCAGACACCCATCTTGTATACACAGAAGAACACATGGACAAAAAAAATTTTTAAGTAAAAGTGGCAAGAAAGTTTTTCATGATTATGTTTCATTACTTTGAAGAAACAAAGATTTTCACAGATACTATTTGCATAGTGGCCAGTTTACAAAATAACTTTGTTACTCAGGAATACGCTCCCAGAATCATAACCCAGCTTAGCCATTCTTTGCTATATTCCTGAAGTCATTATTCTTGCATTCCATTCTACCTTCAAAATACTTAACAATTAAAAATGATGATAAACTGCAAATGCTAGGGAGGTTATTTTAAAAACTGCAAATATGTTGTGGTCATAGACCTATATTTTTAGAAATACTTGACAGATGAAATTGGCCAGATGAAATTGAACAATGGATCATAGATTTTCCATCTCAGCAGTAGATCTCTGGGACAGAAGCCTCCTCCAGGTAGTTGACAAAGCACACATAAAAAAGTGGTTTGTTAATTTCTCTCTGATTCTTAGAATACTGTTCAAAATATTAGCTAAGTAATCTGTTCTTATTCAAGCTAAAATGTAGTTTAGAAAGCCTCTAGTAGGTGGTATCTGAAACTCATCATAACAAACAAAAGAGTATGAGCAAACATGGGTAACGTTCTTAAACCTAAATAAATGTACTAGGTCACATGCCGAGATTAAGGACATATTATCTAAACTCAGTAGGAATGCAATTAAGTGCTAAGAATCAAAAAGCACCTCACAGTTTTATAAGATTGAGCTGTTTTTATTATCGCAATAACTGAAGCATGTGCTTAATAACTCATCAAATACATTTATTTCCCTTCAACATCTACAAGGTCAACAGCAGACATCAGCTACAACTTGAAGTGCCATTAATCCTTTTGAAAAACGGCTAGAAAGACAGGACCAAGAAGCAGTAGGTTGGATCCCACTGAGGCTCCCAAGGTGTTTCAGGGACTCAGCCAGGGAGCACACATGGAATGTAAAGAACTTGGGTTTATTTAGGGGTAACACTATCTTCAATGCTCCCTGCTAGCCAGGCAACCAGTTTATACACGACATATGGCTCCATATGCAACAGTCCTGATTTCCAGTGCTATGTTCTATATCCAGTTCTTGGTTTGGTCATTATGATCATTATAGTTTAATTTTAAAACATGAAGTATTATATTATAAGGGTATCTTCCACTTGTGGTGACTAAACATGAATAACACTGGACTGGCCTTGGTATTAGACCACTGGGGTAAGCTTTCCTAGACTCGTTCCCAGAATCTTTATGCAGGTTATTGTGTTTCTCCATTTTTGGTCTTTGTTTCTTTTTATTGCTTCCATCTTCTTCCATCACTGACAAGGAATTTTAACCCATTTGAGGACTGTGTCAGTGTTTATACTTAGACTCATAGCTATACTTTTTATGTTTATAGTATCTTTGATCATTTCAAAGTCATTTTACCCATAAACTATATTGATCTTCATAATGCCATTTAAGATGAGGAACTGAAACATGAGGGTCTACAATGTGCCTGAAATCACCTGGAGTTAGTGCTAGAACAGAGTGCTCACCTCAGGACTCTGAATCCCAGCTCACTGTACCCCAGGACTATTAACGTCATTTGCTTTGTCTTCAGATTGGGCCTGAGATGGAAACTCTTTCTTAGCAGCTATTTAAGTATGTTGAACTCTCTGAAGTTTAACTTCATGGTTGGTAAGTGGGGGTGACAATACTCACTTTGTGCATTTATGTTGATGATGAAGTGAATGTGTTAAAACCTAGAACAGGGTTAAGTGTTCAACAAAGTTGACCTTCCCATTCCAGCTCTGGGTGGTACTTCACATAAATGTGGTTCCGTTAGCACTGCTGAGGGTCTCTGAAGTCACTGTAATTCAGCCAAGGGCTGAGAAGACACAGTGTACTTAATGTACCAGTAGGGCTGCAATCTAGTTTCCCCAACCACTGCTTAGTTCTCTCCACAACCGTCACAGTGCTATGTGTGCAAATGTACAGATGCAGAAGGGGCAGACAGGGGTTGCTGCAAGCGACAAGAATGGAACTTGCTGCCGACTTCCTAGGCAGTAACAAGACTGCAAGACTGCAAGATTGCTAGTTTGCCACATTTCATAGAACTCTTTTCAAATTCTCCAAAATAATTTCAAATAGGATACAATAAAATACTACTCCATATCAATTTTATAATTTACTATTAAATGGCATAATTCAGCAAATCCTAAAGTGCTAATTTTGTAGACAACGGTACAGTCCTACACTGTAACATGGAATGAAGGAGGGAGGTTGGGGGCCCATCTCTGAGTGGCCCTGGGAGTGAGAGGCGAGGGCAGGTTGAGGGTATCTGCTGTTTCTGTTACTGTGTCCCAGGGTAGAACAGCCATTAACATTCCCCCCTTTCTTCTTCTTCAGCAAAACGGAATAGAAATACCTGAGTTGAGTTTTAAACTCTGAGTCCAATAAATAAATAAAAAGAAATAAAGGCTATGACTCCATCTCATTTGAGTTAAACCATAAAAATACTTAAAGGTACTAAAATGATTTTACATTCAAAATGTTTTTGAAAGGTGAAACCTAGTGAAATCTCAGCATAATTTAATTTAAAACTATATAAATAGAAGTGAATACAGTGCATCATTATTAGTGACAATTCAGCACTAGGCTCATGTTCAGATTGTTGCAGCCTGGGGCTTCCAGTCAGACATTTGGGTTCTGATTCTGCCTCCTTTCCTGTTTGTAGGCGGGGATCTGACCTCTAAGGGACACAGTATTCCTGGTGAGAGTGAGGATCTTGTCATCTATTTTCTAGCGTATATTAAGAAAACTGAGATGAAATATTCCTATAACAACTGAGTGTTTAATATCTATGGGATCTAAGCTCTTTTAAATCTATTAACTTAGCTCCCACAGCAACCCACTGAAATGGACAGTATTACTTATCTCCTTTTTGGAGAAGAGAAATTAAGGCATAGAAAGTTTTAACAGAAAACCTCGGCAAGGCTGCCCAGCTAACGACTGAGAATTCTGGCTCAGGCAGTGTGGCTCCAGGCATGTGCTCTTAGCCTCTCACCTGTGCCGCCTGTCCACCCGGCAGCTCAGTACGAGTCCGCCCCTGCTCAGACTGTGATATATGCGCAGGCCTGATGTCCAAACGGCAATACACACCAGACCCGTCTTTTCCAGAAGTATACAGCTGCTCCCTCGAGGACACAGGATATGCGCATGCATAGATAAAAAAGCAACACTCGACTGAACTTGGCAAATGACAGAGAAAAGGAATAACCACAAGTTCTAGAGAGTGTGGAAGAAGGGGAAATCAGCAAGATTCTGTATTGTAGGTAGAACCTGACTTTGGCCTTGGAAGGTAAACAGAACTAAAAGACTAGCAAAGAGTTACCAGTTTTCCTATTGCTGGACACAATACCTGACATGCACAACTTAAAGAAGAAGAAAAGGTTTAGATTGCTCACATTTTTAGTCCATGATTGTCTGGCTCCAAGGCAGAAAAACCAGAGGGAAGGACGTGGAGGAGCAAAGCTATTTGGTTTTTGGCAGCTGGGAAGCCGAGCGAGGTAACAGTGCCAGAGAGGAGTGGAAGGAGCATATATATTCCCAAGCTGTGCCCCATGACCCACCCAGAAACCAGCTTCACCAATCTTCGAGGTGTTTCTTAATCCAAGGATGCTGATGTAGCAGGATGAATGGTCACAGGACAGTCTGGGAAGTTATTTTTCATAATGGGAACTAAACAGACAAAGGATTTCTATGTTTAGGAAATGGGGATCTTCCTTCGGCAAGGAAGAAGGTTTCGGTATGGGCACACTGAGACGAGAGAGTGGAGGTTTAAAATTGTTTTATAGAATGTTTTAAAAGCCAAGGAATGGAGGGGAGACTGTCTGCTACAGGCCCCCTGGGCTTCTGAGCACCTCATGTGCAGGTATGCGGGCCTGGTAGTGTCAAACAGTACTTTCCAAAGGCTGGTAAGACTGATGGCAAATGTGTCAGGAATGGAAGCAAGAAAAGTTAGACAGCAAACCGCAAGGGCACACAGCAGCCGTCTGTACACATACCTACATTCAGATACTTCTCAGTCACCCCGGGCACAAGTGTCTGCTGGTGGACATTCCATGGCCTCTCTTCTCCTCCACGCTGTCCTTCTGGCTATTCCTCGCTGGGCAGCCCCTGGGGGTGGACATGGAAGCAAAGTGATTTCCCAATTAGTCTCTTTATTTTTCTTCTCTGTAGAAGCTGCAGTTAAACATATAATGTGGAAAGAGGCACATCGTGGTTATGCTTTCATGGTACATCCAGTCCCTTCACAGAATCATTTGCTGATGGAGACCAGAAATCACATTTGAACTTAACCTTAGGATACTAAGTTGTAATGCCCATCCACCAGGGATGGCCCTGAACTTGCACAATGTTCTACAGCAGAAATTTGTTCCTTCTCTCGCTGTTGAGATTTTTAGGTGGGAGGTTAAATATACTTTCCTTAAAAATGCTTGGGGTGTATCTCTAAATCTTTTTACAGGCATACATGATGCCCTGTATCAGGCACTGTTATTCAGGATACAGGTGCTGCTTCTTCCTAAGTTGACTATTCATGACCAGGAGGCCTGGTTAACTCACTAGTTGACGAGTGCACACTTGAATCTAAGACTCAACTGCTGTGTTATAAGGATAGGAAACAAAAAAAAATGGGAAAAACAAAAATGATCACAACGCTAAACTTACAAAAAATACTACTGAATTACTATTTCAGACTATTATTATGAGTGTATATGACATCTAAATAGATTTTAGAAACTTGATACACCATTACCACTAATATATGTTCAATCTCTTACTTGTGTCTGTGGATGGAAACATATTTGAGGTACAAAACAAACACATCAAACACACATACACACACACATACTCATATACACAAACTCTTTCAAGAAAAGGAAAAGGTCTAAAAAATTGTATGCTTGGCTGGTAGAATCTAATATATCTGTTCTCTAACATATTTTCATAAATTATTTATAATCTGAATCCTTGTTAATTCTTCACCCCACAGCCCTAATATTGCTAGGGTTCTAGAAAAGGTGGTGAGAAAAAAATGCAGCTAGTTATTTCAGGACACAGTACCTGCTACTGTGCCCACATATTAGCCAGAAAACTGGTTTCTTTGCTTGTGAGAACTTGGCATACTCACAGGCCCACTAACCTTAATACGAAATAAAACAATGCCCCAGTGACTCTGCTTCTCAACTTGTTTGATAAACTAGAATTATTTGCAAAGATCCCAAATAAACAGAAATCATTCTAATTATGAATAATTAAAATTCTAAACTCAAGAGGGCACTCAACGTTCATTACACTGTAGCGCTCACCTGAAGGGTAGTGCCTCCAATTAGTTCTGCTTTTACAACAGAAGAAAATGGTGACAACCAGTAATTGCAGGTATTTAGTTCAAGTAACAAAACAAGCTCCTGCCTCTAAATCTGCAGCTGCCCTCAGCCAGCACAGGCACTGCTCTTTCAGATTCTGAGCATGGAGCATCAGCACTATTCCACAGCACAGGGAGCACCAGATAACACAGCATACGGTGCTGGAAGCCTGGAGCAGCTGGATTTCTGCTTTGTCAGTTGTTCCAAGAAGCAGGTGAAAGTGGAAGGTGAGCTATAACAGCAAATGGCTTGAAAAGAAACCCCTTTAAAATAGCATAAGATTTTCATCAATGCATTTATTCACTTAATTTGAAAACAATGACTTTAGGCTAAATAATAGTTATACTTAAAAATATATATCTATTTTACAAAACATACCTATATATTTTACTTATATATTTTACAAAACAAACTTATTTTCTCTTGGTATACCAAATGTTATTTCAGTTACTGAGGCTTCTATTATTTGTTTTTAGAACTAAAATAAGCTAAGGTGGATGTGGAAAGCAAATAGTATATTCAGCATTGGATCTAAAAGACTGGAGTAAAACAGACTTTCTTACTCTGATTCAATATCAAATTGATAACCATGACACAAAAAATGGTTATCTCCCACCAGCTGCCACACTAGGGAAAAACATTTAGCCTTTCCTTTAAGCAGAGGGAAGAACTCATTCGAAACGTGGTACAAGTCATTTCAGAATGATAAAACTTAAGTTACCAATTCCACTTTTAATGATTAGTTGCCTGAGCTTTGTATTTAATTAAAATGGTTATTTTTAAATGCTTGTATTTAATTTAAACATAATTAGCTAAAGCTCAATGTTACTGCTTCATCCATTTTGAAATTAATTTATGAAATAGTTCAAAAAGTGTTGCAAAATTTTAATATTAAAACACATAAGGGTCAATTTGCACCTTCTGGTGGTTTCGCTTGTGGAGTCAGAGTGAGTTGTTTACACTCGTTATGACCACACGGCCTCTGGCCTGGCTGTTGTACAATGGGATCAAATATTGACATATCCCTGACATCTCCTGTGGACTTATGACATATGTTGCAACCATCCAGGCAATAGCAGTCTATAACTAGGGATGGGATTGTCTAAATTTTAAAGGGATCTAAGTTTTAGAAATTAAATTTGGCCTTCTTACATTTAGGAGAAACTCCTGATTTTAGCAAGTGTGTGATGATCAGTGATAAAATTTCTTCTGAGTCAGACTAATGTAATTAAGAAAAAATTCTGACTTTAACTTGTATTTAAATAAACAGTGCAGCCTATATACATGGAAACAAAGAGAATGTGTAGCAGAGTAGAACAGCTTTCCTGATTTTAAATCTGAAGATCCAGCTAAAACTGGTGACACATGCCTTTGATCTCAGAACTTGGGAGGCTGAGGCAGGAGTATCCAAAAGTTCAGATCCTGCCTAGTGACTTAGTGAGACCCTGCCTCAAAAGAAAAAATAAAAAGGGCTAGGATTGTAGTAGAGTTATCTGGAGGGGATTTCCTGCTGCCTGCAGAAATTACAATCCTTAGAGGGCTGAGCAGGCCAAACTACTAAGCTAAGCACATCTGTCTATTAACGATGATTGGTTCCATTTATCAGGTACTGAGTGTTTACTAAGCATTGAACTGGCTGCAGACAGACAGGTCTGTGCATGCCCTACCGAGGTCCCGAGTCACGCGGAAGACGCAGAATCACCCCGCTGCAGACAGGCAGACACCTGGTTCCACACTACAAAGATGCAGAGGACATCAGACCACCAGACCACAGTACTGAGTCCCGTTGCTCCCAGCCCAGAGGTAGGGCCTTCTGAAACGCCGTCCCACTGCTCCTGGTCCAGAGGAAGGGGCATTCTGCTCACCATCCCTCCCACTGCTCCCAGCTCAGAGAAAAGGGCTTTTGGGCCACCTTCTGTCCTGCTGCTCCTGGTCCAGAGGAAGGGGCTTACTGGACACCATCCCTCCTGCTGCT